TAACACGAACAAACACACAAACATTCTTCTTTATATAGAGAGCTTTTGTAAAACTCACAAATTTTTTATTAATAAACTCTATGATTTGAAAGCGAGAGGTAGCAACACTTTTCAAAGTAAAGCATTTTTTTATTTCTAACGCGAGAGACCACTCGGAAAAATGAGTGCGAAAATTAGTGTTTTCAGAGTTTTTAATTATTTCATTGTAAATCTTAGAACTTTGTTATTAATAAACTACGATTTGAAAGCGAGCAGTGACAACACTTCCGGAAGATTTTATCTCCAGCGTGCGAGACTGTTGCCACTCGGAAAAATGAGGGCAAAAATTAGCGTTTTCAAAGTTTTTAATTAATACAAGAATTGTAGAAATTTTTGGTGACGATAGCTGCAGTAGTGACTGAGTTAATCGCGAACAAACACACACACAAACATTCTTTCTTCCATATATAAACGTAAAATACTTCGTACAAAGTATTTCGTCAAAATAATAATAATAATAATAATAATTAAAAAAATCTGAAATGTTTCAGATTTAAAATTACGTCCAAAGGGGCGTTTTTTAACATTTTGTGTGTTACCTTTCTTTATTAAATATCATGTTCCTCGCACTAAAACCATAAGATCCAGTGCAACAGCAATATCGCAAAATAGTTTTAAAACGAGCATATTCTTTAGAATTTCCAATACAGAGACTCACGCGCTGGAGATAAAAATGTTTTTTTCTGCACAACGTTGCCATTGCTCGCTTTGAAATCCTTGAGTTTGTTAATCAAAAATTCGTCAAAGTTTTAAAAAATAGGAAATCGATCATAAAACAAATTTCAAATTTCAAATTTGGTCTTCCACATGCTCATATTCGTTGGAGGATTACGTTATTCAAAATTCGATGACTCTATGTACCGTTGTTTTATCACAATACGAGAAATATACATACATTTATGCAGATTTTCATTATTTAATTTCTTCAAATATAATGCAGGACTTTAACATTTTGTGGCAACAGTTTGAAAAGTGAACCGACATTTATGAGTCCGACGCAAAATGCCAAAACGAAACTAATAGTCCTTCGGGATTCAAATCCCTTTGGACTAAAAAAAAAAAAAAACTGAAATGTTTCAGATTTTAAATTACTTCCAAAGAAACGTTTTTTTAACGTTTTGAGTGTTACCTTTATTTATTAAATATCATGTTCTTTGCACTTAAACCATAAAATTCAGTTCAAGAGCAATATCGCAAAATAATGTTAAATTAAGCATATCTTTAGAATTTCCGATATACACAGTCTCGCGAGCTGGAGATAAAAGTATTTTTTTTATATATAACGTTGCCATTTCTCGCTTTTAAAGCATTGAGTTTGTAAATCAAAAATTCGTTAAAGTTTTACAAAATATAAAATCTATAATAAAACAAATTCCAAATTTGGGATTTCAGATGCCCATATTCGCAGTAGGATTTCGTCATTCAAAATTCGATGGCTCTATGTACCATTGTTTTATCACAATGCGAGAAATAGACAATCATTTATGCAGATTTTTCATTATTTAATTTCTTCAAATATAATGCAGGACTCTAACATTTTGTGGCAACAGTTTGAAAAGTGAACCGACGTTTATGAGTCCGACGCAAAATCGCAAAACGAAAACAATAGTCCTTCAGGGACAAAGCCCCTTTGGACTAAAAAAAAAACTAAACTCAATATTCAAATTTAAATAAAAAAAGCATATACCATGCCTTTTGTACTTTTTATTTTAATGTTTCCCCTTTATAACATATTGTATAAAATAATATAAACTTACGTATTTTAAACCAGAATTTTTTTTCAGGAGGGGGAGAGGAAAAAACGAAAGGAATGGTTCTAAAAAATTGTTATTAATTTTACCAAAAATTTTAATTTAATTACAGATACCTAGTAAATATAATTAATTTGTTCATTACTTCAAAAATCAAATATATGAAAAAAATTAATTTAAATGGAAAAAAAAATTAAGTTCCTTTCAAACATGGAATAGGTCTGTTTTACTTAAAAAATAAGTTTGAAAATGTTAAAAAAAATTGTCATTTTACTTGATATAAATTGTAATTTTATTGTAATAATAAAATTGTAAATTTTACTTGATATCTAAAACTTTAAATGAAAAACATTTCAATACTTTATTCTTCTGTTATTAAATAACAATTAATTATAATTAAAAATGCTTCAGTTAACTGAATATTCTAATACGATGGTCCCCAAACATTTTCGAATCTATACTGCGACACCATAATCTTAGGAATATGTATACTTTTATAATATATTTGGACCCCTTTTATGCAGTTTTTCAGCAACTTTGCGATCTCAAGTTTGATGACCACTGTTCTAATAGGATAAAAGTTGAACTGAAAAAAGGAAACTTTACTTTCCCTATTACTTTGCTTTCATGTTATATTAGTTTAAATAAAAATGCTCCCAGTTTTTCATTTTCTTATTCTATCCTAAGATATTTACTGAAAAGTAAGGATCCATAATATTATTAAAAGTTTTCTCAGAAGAAAGCCAGAATGAAAGAAAATACCACCTCCTGCCTCCCCCCAAAATAAACAAGTTATTACGGAATGACCCCTCCACAGTAATTAGTGCAGATGACCTTTTTTTTAAACAACATATTAAAAAAAAAAAAAAAAAAAAAAAAGACTTGTTGGCGCCTTAAAAGCATAGGTCCGGGGCATGTGCGCTGACACGGTTGTGGAAATTAAGACCTCCTAGTTCCGAAATCGAAATCGAGTCAATGGCTAGGCGGCAATTATTAGCCAACGGGTACTTTAACCGTCTCTGTTGGTAAATTGCCCTAAGGCGTTGGTACAGGCGATTTACGCCGCGCCAACTAGGCGAAACTTGTCAAATTTTGTGAAATGTAGGTGGAGTGGAGGGAGATGATTGGCAGGAGCCTGTCACGTGGGTGGTCACCAGCTTACGCGTACAATGAGAAATATTGGAAATATTAATAATTATCAAGTTTTGAAACAGGTTATCTAGATTGGAATAATTAAACTAATATCGCGATCTAAATGAAGACAAATGGCACAACTAAGTGCAACAGATTAGCTAAACAAAATATTCAAATTCATCCTTTCTGTAAAACACAGATTGGACAGTGGTAGTCACGTTGGAATCACCCTCCCGTGAACTGTGCACAGCCCAATGCATCTTAAGTTCCAAAGTTTCTCAAAAAAAGTAAAATAAAAAAAAATTAAAAAAAAAAAAAAAAAAGAGGGGGGGGGAAGCAGAAATTTTGAAGAGAAGAGTTTCAACATTATGAGTCAGAACGCTACATGAACATAATAGGCGGTTTCCATAACGCAAATGCTTCATTTATTAAAAATCCTCTTTTAATAAGTCAAAATCAAAATGCTCCACATCTGCGCGTTACATATGTAAGCGTAATTTACATTCTAAAACAAGATAAAGAGTTATTTACATGTGTTACAAGCTGCAGAACTAACCACCGTTAAAAGAAGCAAATTTTATTAGCCCATAGGGGAAATTTGACCAGAAGGAGCATTTTAGTTTCGTTTTGGCATTTTGCAATGGTGCCATTTCTCTTTTCAAATTGTTGCCACCAAATATTAGAGCCCTGCATTATATTTAAAGAAATTAAATAATGAAGAATCTGCATGAATGTATGTATGATTCTCACACTGTCAAAAAACAGTGGTACCTAGAGACATCAAATTTTGAATAACTTAGTTTTCCACTCAAATAGGGGCATCTGGAAGCCCATACTTGGAATTTGGAATATTTATTACCTATTTTATATTTTGTAACAAACTGAACGATTCCAAAACACGCAATGGCAACACTATACGGGAGAAAACAAAATTATCACCAGCACGTGAGACTGTGTATCGGAAATTCTAGATATGTTCTTTTTTAAATTTTGTGATATTGCAGTTGAATTAAATTTTATAGTTTAAGTGAGAAAAACATGATATTTAATAAATAAAGGTAACACATAAAACGTTAAAAAAACGAGCCTTTGGGCTAATATAAAAAAAAACTGAAAGCTTTCAGAATTTTTTTTTCTTTTAAATTTTATAACTGTTTTATAAATACGGCTAGAAATAAGTTTTTTGATCGATAAAATGGTCCTCTGGAAATTGATCTCAGTCAATCAGTCTTAGAAGTTTGCAAGTACAGATATGTAACTTTTAGTACTACTTAGCATTTAAAACATAAATAATATTCTGCTAACTGCAATTTTGTTCTTGGACGAACTTATGAAAATTAAATTTTGTTGACCAGCATCGTAATTATCATTCTCTTAGCGTATTTTGAAAACTCTTATAGTTAGATAAATTATCTTATAGGTCTACGATGTAAAAGGCCTTATAAAAGATGCATAAGCACTATTAAAATAAACATTTAAAAATCTTTTACCAGCTCTTTTTCTCTCTTAGCTTGTTCAATTAAAATATAATGTAAGAAAGAGACAAATTGTTCATGTATAATTATGAAAATAAATTAGAGTAAGAAGATGCTTAACAGGAAAATTATATTATACACACAGAGATTAAGTGATAAGTTGTTCATGCTTGCTCATATTAAAAAAATATTTGTGAAAGTTAAGACTTATACATGATTATTAACTGCTTGAAAGAAAAAAAAATATTCGCTGCTTCACAGTTACATTTTTACTATTTTCAATTTCTTGTTATTTTATTTTTTGACCTTTTTTAATAACTCCAAAAATAGTAACAAAACTGCAATTTGTAATTTCTGAAGTACATTTTGTATGAAGTTATATGAATCTGAATTTACATAAGCAAACAAAAATAAAAAGTACTAATGAAAGTTAACAAATTTCCTCTGGATTCAGTTTTTAAAGTACGTTTCATTTGAAAACGGAATGTTTTCTTCTGACTGCAATCTTACTATACCCCTACAAATTGTTTCTTATAGTACAATGACAATAATATAAAACGTTTGTCAAAATTCATAAAGATTACACAAAATTGTCACTTACTTCTCTTTCGTGCAGCATTACTCCAAGTAGTCTCTATTGTAGCTCTTTTCACCTGGTCAGCAATCTGACAGTCGGACAGCACTTGTATCTCATCATCATCTGCAGTTGTGCTGCTAGCTTTAGGATGTAAGTCAAAACGGACATCATCACCTGAATTATTTCTAGAAAACTGACTTGCAGTTACATTATTGGCACTACTTTTAAATGGCACAGTATCTTCCAATTCTATTTTAATACGACTGGTAAGGTCAATACCTGAATTCTGTCCAGAAGGCCGCTTACGTTTGGAATGCTGAACATCCACAGTTGAATACTCTTCAGAATGCCGTTTAACTTCTTCTTCACCAACTTGGCTTGCAAATACCTGCACATTTCCAAGTAGTTCAGCTTTAGCAGCCTCATTTAATTCTTTCGAAGATAAAACTTTCTTCTCCGTAATACAATCTTGAACAGTATCTTGCTTTGTGCACTTTTGTAAAACATGGCCATTCATTTTACAATTGGAACAGAAGAAAGTAACTTTCAAATTATCTTTCAAGTACGGTAATTTTAAAAACATTTCGTTCGGTAGCCCTTTTTTTCGAAACACTTCCAGATCTTCAGCTTCAGGTATTTCAAGAACAGCTCTCCAATTTCCACTGCCTACTTCTGGATGTTTCTCTAATGGTACTTCACTTACATTCAGAACTGATCCTAGGCAGCTCTGCAACTGCTCGTAGAGATCTTTCTGTACGTCATGGTGTGCATCGACATTATGTATAGTGAGATGGGTTATAAGGGGATACATAAAAATGCTATGCCCAGATACGGTTAATGATCGACGATTTAGAACGGCAGTTACAGAAGCTTTATTCTTGAAATATATTCGAAAGCCATCGTATTTCGTATCATTCACAACCCTTGCTATACCTCCTTTGCATATTTGCAGAAGTTGGCTTATACACTCGCCTTTAAAACGATCACTGCTATTGTCTGATCGAATCAAAATGCCATAATTTGCATATGAATCGCCCATTTTAACCAATTTTCTTTTCAAATATCAAACTCACACGTACCGCATTCAGCACGACGGAAACGAAACAACTATACTGACTACACCCACTCTTATCATTTGCTTCTCCCTTGTGATGGTAAATGCAAGCGATGAGCCAATGAACATAGCCGAATCAGAACGCCGAAAAGTTATCGAAACAACGCAACGAGGCTGTAGTGGATGGCCAAGGTTTTTGAGAGTTTGGATCCGTGCCAGCGTTTTTCAACGGCTTAAAGATAAAAAATCATTAACTCATGCCTGTGATGACGAAGATAGGAAGGATAGCTGTCATTTCCCGTTTGGGAGAAGATTTCCTTTTAAGAAAGAAAAGAGAATGGTGTTCAGAAGTAGACAATGAAAGTGAAAATGGAATAAAAGTGCTTAGTTAGTGTTAAAGAAGTTCATTATTGATTCGCATTCCTAAGTATTTTTAAAAATATGTTTATTCGTTTAAGATCTGATTAATTAATTAATTAGGTGGTACAATTTATTTTCTCTTTTCTGTGTTGATAGAAGATTATTTTGTCTGCAGAAATTAGAGTTGGATTGTATTCTAAATTTTCTAAAATCCGAAATCTGATCCTAAGATTCTCAGATCTCTGAAATCATTCATATAAGAATAATAATTTTTAAAAAAATCTGAAAGCTTTCAGGTTTTATATTACGCCCAAAGGGTTTCTTTAACGTTTCTTGTGTTACCGTTATTTATTAAATATCATGTTCTTCGCATTTAAATCATAAAATTCAATTCAACAGCAATATCACAAAATAATTTTAAAAGAGCATATCTTTAGAATTTCCGATTCTGGCGCGCTGGAGAAATTTTTTTTTTTTTTTCTTTTTCGTATAGTGTTTCCATTACTCGCTTTGAAATCATGGAGTTTGTAATCACAAATTCGTTAAAAGTTTTACAAAATATGAAATGGATAATAAAATAAATTCTAAATTCCAAATTTTGGTTTTCAGTCGCCCATATACGAATGGAGAACTACGTTATTCAAAATTTGATGTCTCTAGGTACTTTTTGTTTTCATAGTGCGAGAAACATACATGCATTTATGCATTTTCTTCATTATTTAATCTCTTTAAATATAATGCAAGGCTGTGATATTTGGTGGCAACAGTTTGAAAAGTGAAACATCGTTTATAGTGAATCAACTCAAAATGCCAAAACGAAATTAATAGCCCTTTCTGTGAAAACAGCCTCTTTGGGATTAAAAAAATCTGATGTGTACACCACATGACTTCCTTGTATTGGAATATTAAATTATACGCATTTTTTCTTGCATTTTATTTAAACTTATTGGATTGAATTAAATCTACTTCGCCGACAGCGCATAAACCACAATAGAATAACTGCATTCTTTAAAATTCACTCTAACATTTGTTTACCATAGCGACACTCTGGCGCTAGATTCACTTAACAGTATTAATAATTATATAACAGTTAACTTATATAATAATTTTATAACGGAAACTAAGTTAACTGTTATATAGTCCAATAATTATATAACAGTTAACTTATATATTTCGTTCATATTATAACTCATAATGCACAAAATTTATATCATTTAAAGAATAGAATTATCTAATCGTTGCCATATGTTCTATTCAAATACTATAATAAATTAGAATGATGTATAAAAGAAATTAAGCAAACAAAACAAAAAAGAAACAGTTTTTCACAGACGATTGAGTATTTCTCATTTAATTAATTCAGTTCTCACTTCGCGAGAAGGCAAAAATACATAAAAACTCAAACTATCTCTATTAAAAATTACGAAGTAAATCTTAAACGCTTATTTCCTCGAAAAAATTCCAGAAAGGATTAAGTATGATTTGAATAATAAATGAAGGCGTTATCTCTGTTGTTGTGAAACTAAGTTTCTCTAGATTGGCAACAAATCCACTAGTCTCCTGTTTCAAATGTAAACATCAATGGCCGCCATTAAAAAAAGGTTTAGCGGCACTTAGACAACTTTAAAATTGTTGATAATTCTAAAAATATTGCATACAGATTTACTAAAGGCATAAAAACCTTAACCGGAAGATAAAAACAACACAATACAATCATTTTTAAAGCAAGAAATGTACAATTTACAAACATATAAGAGTAAAGAAACTGAGATCAACGGGTAACAGAGTGGATATATTTATAAATATATTTATATACGTTTGGCGCGGCCGATTGAAACCAAAATACGAGGTGCACATCTACATGTTATAGTAGTTTATATACAAAATTTCAACGTTCTGAGGCTACTCGTTTTTGCGTTATGCGAGATACGTACGTACGCACGTACGTACATACGTTCGTACAGATGCCACGAAAAATTCTCTTCAGAACTAATTTTAAAGCAGTTTTATAATTTTTTTGTTTGAAAAGAGTCTTTTATTCTGTCCTTACGTACAGATATCACGCAAAAACATCGTTAAATTGCATTCGATAGCGGTCAAAATGGATATTTTCGTTGAAATATGCTGCCTGAAACTTTTCGCGATTACAATACTTCCTTTTTACTTCGTACAAGGAAGTAAAAAAGGTTTGTATTAAAAGTTTGTATTAAAAGCAAGATTCAAAATTCGCGTTTAAGGAGAAGACAAATTTAAGAATATAGTTTTAAAGATACACTTACATTGAATAAGAAGATGGAAAGGAAATTAAATAAATAAAGTATACAGTGTCTCACAAAAATGATAGGGCAAAACAATATTTTTACTCTACTAATAAGGAATATTTTCCCTTTGAATACATATTTTCTTAGCTATATCTTTGTACTGAATAAATTTAGAAAAACAAAATTGTAAATTTAAAAAATAGCGTTTTTGACTGAAATTGAGGAAAAAGATACCACAAAATTAATCGGACATTTTTATAATTTCTAATTAAAATTTCAATAAATAAAAAACGAAATTTTATGGAATTATTTTGGAAAGAAGCTCGGCAAAACTCTAAAAATTATTTGCTTTTATAATTCGAATTTTCTTTTTAGAAAATGTTCGTTATTTTTAATTTAGAAAATATTCGTTATTTTAATGTTTTCTCGCAATGGCTCGGTCACGAAAGGAAACATCGTTAGAAACCCGCAGATTAGTTATACATTTGCATCAAAAGAAAATGAAAATTTAGAAAAAAAATTGCCTATTTACTTAATTTAAGTGATTCTACAGTTTTTTATATAATTAAGTGTTATAAGATACAGAATCGTATTCAAAACAAAAGTAGACCTGGAAGACCATCTAAGTTATCTGAGGGAATGAAATTTTTAATATTCTAAGGAATATTAAAAAGAATCCAAAACTGAGTGCTCCTTGAAATAATTTTTGCATTTCTAAATCAGATGATGGTGGTTCCGTGAGTTTTCTAACTTTAACACTTTTACATTTTAACAATATTTTAATTCACTATATACAGAGCGTATTCTTAGGCCGCCGCCTTCAATCTAAACAAACTTTATTTCTTTTAACTATGCGAGCAACAGCGCCCTCTAGCCTTTTCCTTCAAATTACGCAACACTCCCCACCTGAACTCGGTGGAGAGTTCGTCTTTCAATAATAGGTTCTAGAATAGTCAATTAATATTTCGACAATCAATCCTAGAGAAATGGTTAAATATAACAAACATGCATACATAATTATAAGCATATAAATTTTACAAAACATTAAATGATACCTATCAGCGAGGTCAGGAGAATCAAACCTAAAAATACAAAATACAAACATTAGTTAAGTTCCATATATATATAACAATTGTATAGGCCTTTTTAAGGTACCAGTAGGTGTTTTAATTATGCAAGATCTTATTTTACCATCTCTGCCTGGCATTAATTCCAAAATTTTACCTATTGTCCAAGAGATTTCTGGGATGTTTGTCGTCATGAATCAAGACAATATCGTTGATTTTAAACTGAGATGCGTTAGAGTGTGGAGGACAAATATTGGCAGATCTCAGATTAAAAAGATACTCTGATCTCCAACGCTTCCAAAAATGATTTAAAATATCTTGATGGTATTTATATCGTTTAATAATTGAATTTCTTGATCCCATCAAATTATTTGATGTTATTTTATTAGCAGGCAGAGATAGTAATCGTCTACCAACCAGAAAATGAGAGGGTGTTAGTGGAGAAGGTTCATTGGGATCGGTAAACACGTAGGTAATTGGTCTACAATTAATCATTGCCTCGATTTCAATGAGCACTGTTTCAAGCTCTTTCACAGTAAGGGATGATCGACCAATAATTTTGCGTAAGCTGGATTTTATGAAGTAAGCTGGTTCGTACTATACGCTCCCAAAACCCTCCCCACCATGGACCCCTCTCAATAATAAATTTCCAGTTTATGCCTCTAGCAGAAAATAATTCTTTCACAGATGAGTCACTCAAAGTTTTAAAAATATGTTTTAGTTCTTTTGGCTCTTTTAAAAGTCTTGGCATTATCGGAGTACACGGTGGTACACAGTCCTCGGCGAGCTAAAAATCTTCGGAAAGCTAGCAAAAAACTTTCAGTGCTGAGATCAGTTACTATCTCTATATGTAAGGCACGAGTGACCGCACACGTTAACAACAGCATGTAAACTTTACCTTGCCTGTCTTTCGTAAAAAAATGGACCGGCGAAGTCCAACCCGGTCACAGCAAATGGAGGCGACTCTTGGATTCTGTCTGGAGGAAGTGGAGCGATATCCTGTACCCCAGGACGAGCACTATATCGTTGCATATCACACATTTGCTGATGATAGTCTTAACACGCTGTCTTCCCTTAATGATCCAGTATTTGTTTCTGATCTGAGTTAGTGTGGAATTAACTCCAGCATGGAATACCTTTTCATGCGAGTCCATGATGATCAACTCGGTAAACTTGCATTTAGAGGGTAATAGAATAGGATGTTTTAAATTCTCGTGACAGTCTGCAAATTGAATGCGACCTTTCAACCGAAGAATTCCCTCCTCATCAAGCCTTGGATTAAGGGAGTAGATGGAAGAATCGAGAATTGATTTTTTATTTGATAACTTAATTATTTCCACTTGATACGATTCTCGTTGCGTAATTTTTACCCAATAATGTTCAGCTGCTTCAATCTCAAAAGCACTTAAAGGTCCATTCTCTGTAGACCTTTTCAGAAGCCTCCCAATAAA